CATGGGGAGTTCTACTCCGCCCTCTAGGGTCACTGTGAGTGGGACTAGACTCAGTGGTAGTGAGTTTTATTTGTAAAAAACAATGAATGATAGCTAATTTTTAAATATGCAATCATGTTCAAATCAAGTCTAAACCATATAAAAGAAAATCTTACCTTTCATTTATACAAATATTGCTTTTATCATGTAAAATGTTACAGTGTTAAAATGTACCATATATTGAAGTAATAAACGTATTGCTGGAATGATTTACAAAATGAAGTTATTGCTGTTATTTCTCAGTTACATCACCACCTCTAATATTGGTCATCAGATCCATCATATCTCTTAATTTCCAATAAACTGTATTATACAAGATTGTTGCGTAGCTAAATCAGGTTAATAGAGTTTCTCTCTTTTCTTTTTCTCTCTTTTTTTACTACATAAGTAGATGCATCCAAAATTTATATATTTAAATTTTCCTTTGTAATTTTATATGCTGGGTGATAGGGTTGTAATTCTTAGTGCTCAGCTGGTAATTCAGAGGACAGACTGCAGATACACATGAAAGGGGGGAAGTTACATAACTACCGTATATACTCGTGTATAAACTGAGTTTTTCAGCACATTTTTAATGCAGTTTTTATGGTAAAATTGGGTGCCTCGGCTGATATTCGGGTTGGCTTATACTCTAGTGTATACGGTACTAGCTTCTGTTTCTATCCCAGGCATAATTTGTTCAAAATATAAAAAGCATTGAGCAAGAATTCTTATCTTAGACTCTTGATTGCTGAAAAGCCCCCCAACTACTCATGCTCTCCTCTCAAGTCCACTGCTCATCATGTGACTGGCTATGTGTTCTTTCACCCTGGGAAACAGTAGTTGATTGGCTGCAATGAGGTTGCACACGCCACAAGCATGCTGATACTTGTATTTTACAACTAGTCCTCCTTTAATGGACAAGCTTAGGAAGTGGAAGAAAGGGTGTCCATCTTCCTTTGCCTTGACTGGTCAGACCCTGCCCTCTCCAGGACTTGAGCCACCATGTTGGAGACTTCTCAGGCTCCAGACTCTCGGTGACTTGATGCCGAGGTCTTTGTGGCTTCGCACTTCTTGGATTCCCTGGGTCCAGGAGTTAGTTCTATGGAAACTTCATCAACAGAATTTCCTGCAGATTCAGGCTGGGGCAGAAGTTTAGGCTAGTGGAGCTCGATCTTGGCTGCACGTTGAAAAAAAATTTTTTTAAGCTAGTGTCAAAGGTAATTCTTGACTCCTGGTGACCTCGTGACCTCATGTGTGTTAGAGCAGACCTGTGCTTCAATAGTTGTGATCTTTCAGAGGTTCTGAACTCATTGACCAGGCTTTCTCCCGATGGCTGGACATTTTTCCTGGCTACTCTTAGAACTATCTTTCTGGACATTTTTCCTGGCTACTCTTAGAACTATCTTTCCAATTCTTATTCTTTCCCAACTGTTTTTTCTTTCTTTCATTAAGCATCACTTTCTTAATTGTGTCTTTGATCATGTGCTCAGCCTTGTCTCTGCCTCCTCTCTCTACCCTTACCTTCTTATTCTTACCCTCTGCTCCAAACACATCTCCTCTCAGCTTCGCCTCTTTCTGGCACGGTGGCCCGCAGCTTTAAGACAATATTCTGAGCCGAAAACACGCTTCTAGTGGTCACAGCCCGCTTCTGTCCAATCTTCTCAAATGCTGCTTGAGTGAAGATCATCATCATCCAAATCATTCCAATCAGGTCTTCTCTATAGGATGGCCTCTCCTGCCTACACCTTTCTACCATGCTTTAAATTGTGAGCCCCACGAGGAAGGGGGGGAAATCCTTGTCTGCCATCATGTTCTATGTAGTGACTTATCAGATGATCAGCAATGGACTTTGGGAAGGACCCCTGGATGTGCAGTGACCAAGCCCTCAGCTGCTAACTAAACTCATGCCTCAATCACTCTGTGGGAGAAAGATCCAACACTCTGCTTCTGTAAGGATTACAACCTTGGAAACCCTGCGGGGCAGTTCTGTCCTGCCCTTTATGAGTCAGGATCAACTCCACGGCAACAGGTTTGGTTTGGGTTGGTTATGGGGTACAGAACCTGTGAATGTATATATTGACATTGATTCACTGTAATATTAACAACAATTTAGCCACACACAAAAATCCGGAGAGCAAAGACATTCATCCTTCCTTCTCCGATTCCCCCTGAAGGCAGCACAGAATATTGTTGAGGAAAATGGCTGGACTGGTTCTGGGTGTACTATCTAGCCCTGCCCACTGTCTCCTGCTGTTCAGTCAATCCCAACTCATAGTGACTACAGGATAGAGTAGAGCTGCGCCTTAGGGTGTCTGAGATTATACACTTCATGCAGGCAGCAGACCACCTCATCTTTCCTTTTGTAGAGAAGCTAGTGGATTTGAACCACCGACCCAATATTCAGCCCAAAGTGCCACCAGGGTTCCTATATCTAACCCTCCCCTTTCCCCACCCCAAAACAAACAAACTCATTGCTATGAAGTCGATTTCGACTCATAGTAGCCCTATAGGACAAGGGAGACTCTTTTGAGAGTAGAAGAATAGAAAGTCTCATCTATCTCCCAAAGAGCAGCTGTTGGTTTCAAACTGCTGACTTTGCAGTTAGCAGCCCAACTTGTAACGCACTCCACCCCCAGGGCTCCTGTATACACAGCTCTAGTGACTCTAAGTGAGAGCACGTTAAGCAAAAGAATGCTAATTGGTTTGTTGTAGAAGAGAACAGATTTCCAGTGTAGCACAGACTTTGACTTGCATACAGAAATGCCCAAGTGCATTGCAGCATATCAATTTATGCAATTTAAGGTATGTAAATGTGAGAATTGAGAATTACTTTTTGTTTTGTTTTTAACAGATCTTTTAGAAGCATTTTTCCCTATTAGACAATTAACTTAAAAACAATTTTGAATTTTTCGGGAAGAAAAGGAAAATGAGCTGATTCCGGGAACCCAAGAGGCAAGCTAATTTTGGGAATGATGAGGGCAACAAATGTATAGATGTGCTTTACACAATTGATCTATGTATTGTGATGAATTTTATGAGCCCCAATAAATTGCTTAAAAAAAAAAAAAAAATTTTTTGCATTTTTCACTGGAGTTTGAAAAGTTGAGTTTTTATTAAGATTAGCGACTGGGGGAACATTTAATATGCTGTTAAATGCAAAAGCAACAGGCTATGGCATCATCTCCAATTTTTGCTTTTTAAGTTTTCATATGAGAAGGACTAGCAGGGACTTTCCACAGGAAATTAAAATACCTGATGCTCTTGATTTTTTTTTTTTTTTTACCTCCTCTCTTTTTTGTCTTATTTCCTTTAAGGAGCTCTGGAGGCACTGTGGGGTAAGTGTTGGGCTGCTGACCACAAGGTCCATGGTTCAAACACACCAGCGGCTCTGCAGGAGAAAAGTGAAGCTGTTTGCTCCCGTAGAGATTCACAGCCTCAGAAACCCTATCTTGGGCCACTCGGAGCTGGAATTGACTCAATGGCAGTGGGTTTGTCTCCCTTACTATTGCTACAGGGTGTATTTTAGGGCCTAAGTGAAATTCAAGTCCGGGAAGAGAGCTTGGAGTTTGTAATTTATGGTGAACCTCAAGCCTTCTCGTATTCTGGCGACGCCTCCCGGCAGCCAGCGAAAGCAGGGCAGGGCAGGAACGTGCGGTCTCCTGCTTCTGCATCTGAAGGCAGCCTCGAGTTCATGCTGCAAATGGTCCTTCCGCAGCCAGGCAGTGGAAGCATGCAGGACTGGACTGTAAGTGCCCCGAACATTTGTGCAGCCGACCATTGGGTCGCAGTGTGGAGCCCTAGCGGTGCTGTGGAGCAAGCGGTTGCTGACCGCAAGGTCGGTGGGTCAAACCCACCAGTGGCTCAAACCCACCAGTGGCTCTACAGGAATTAGAAGAGGCTCCCATAAAAATCTGGAGGAAAAAAAGAAAGGGAGCCGTTGGACTCTGTTCTATTGAGTTGCTGTGAGCCGCCGTGAATCAACTCAGAGCGTTCGGTTGACTTTACAGCACTACGGTTAGGAGCAACTACGGGGCTTGCAGTCAGGGATGCCTAGTTTGAGTCCCAGTTTTGTCACTTACCAGCAGAACCTGGGGCAAGTTACTGAAAATGTTTACATGTGTACAAAATAGAAAAATAACGGGCTTAATCTCAGAAAATACAAAAAATGTTGAAAACCAGATCAAGTCCAGCGTGCATCAGAGAGAGAATCAACTGACATAGTTTTAACTATTCAAGTCAGACCTATGCCTTCCTTTGATCTATCCTCATCTCTCCAGTGCCCTCTGTTTAGTCACCCATACCCCCCTCTCCCCCACACATCACTCAATTGTGGGTAGAAGGAGTTTACGGGAGGCTTTTTTTTCCTATGTAGTTCCAACGAATGAATCTTGGATGAATCTTGAACGAATCTTGGACTCCCACTGTCATCCATAGCCTTCTGCAAACCGGCAATACTATCAGCAACCCAGCTCCTGCCCCCTGCCACACATACACCTCTTTCTTCCCATACCCTCAGGGAACCTTTACTGCTGTTACTGTTTCTGAAGGGTTATCTATCTTGACTTTCATGTGCCGCAGGGTTGTAAATATACAAATGAACATATGCAAATCTAACATGACTAATGAAATAAAATAAAAACCATAATAGTAAGGGGAAGAAATATTTAGGAACAAGAGGATAGTTCTGTAGTTCATCAGTGCCATTCTGCACTCTGAATTTATCATCCATCCCATGTGGCCCTTCAGAGAGGGGCTGCCCAATTATCTTACAGGTGGGCTTTGGGTCTCCACTATATCCATGCCCCTTCATATCAATTTGGTTGTGTTTTTGAACTTCTGATACCTCTTGGTACCTCTTCCTGTCGACACCTCATGCTAGCATAGGCTGGTGTACTTCCATGTGGGCTTCCTGGCTTCCCTGTAGCCTTGCCTTTTTTCTTATCTGCTCATTGAAGTAACCTCCTCCTTTTCCTTTACAGATCTACGTAATTGACAGTGCAGACAGAAAGAGATT